TCCTACTTTTAATCTTTCCCGTCCATCTGAAGCTAGAGTACTTGTTGAAAGAGACATCACTTCAATCGTTTCCGAGAAAATCTGGTTGAACACACAACACCATGGATATTGGCAAAAGATAGTGATTGAGCCTTTTTCTTAGTATTGCTCGAACTGTCGTATGTTCGACCACTCCATTTCTCAATGCCATCATCTATACTCCCATCTCAGACTAAATAAGCAAAGTTCTCCGCCAGAGGCAGTGAATCTATCTCCTCCTGATTAGCTTCAAGTTATTGATATTATTGATCATCAAAAGGATACTCCTGAAGACGTCACTATCCTTGTAGGCAATATGTCAACCATTCAGTCTCCACACAATGCTGTAGCTCCTCCGTATTTGGAACCTTCTATCGTGGGGGTGAGGGAAACTTCTCAGATTCCACCTCCCCTAAAACCTATCATTGATATTATAGGTGACAATATTTCTACTGCTTCACTACCGTCTCATCAGGTTCAGTCAGATGTTAATGTTACTCAGGTTCATAGGGATCATGATGTGCAACAATCTACATATGTCCGACCGCCTTTGGACCAATCCGTTGATCAGATGAGTCAATCATCGGATGAGAATGACAGGTCTACACATCCAGGAGGAAGAAGAAGAATCGAGACCTACTTGAGCTCAGGAATCTACGCATCTTACCAATTGTTTAGCTGGCTCCCTTCCGAGAACCACAGGCAGAGGGAGGACTAAAGTGGGACGTCCCTAACACTTTTGAGTCTGTTAGTGGCTTTTTTGGTTTTTTATCTTTATGTATCTTTGCTTTATTTGGGATTTGGTGTGTGTTGTATTGTGTGAGTTTGACTTTCTTTTAGACCATCTCATACAACCTATCTATTTTAATTTATTAGCCCTTGGGATTTTCAAAAAAAAAAAAAATCTGCCACAAGCCTTGGTCTGTTGGTGGCGGGGTAACTGTAAGTCCTCTCAGGTCAAGGATTTGATCCCACAGTGGCGTGGATGCTCTGGAATATTAGGCACATGGCGCAGACATCCTATCATAGGTTCCCTAGCACAAAAGGGAAGCGATATTTGGGACCCACTGGATTTAAATATCGTTTTCTTTGTTTTAATATAATAAATTTTGCCAGAGGCAGTGAATCTATCTCCTCCGGTTTAGTGACACTGCACACTTTTCACTTTATTCAGGCTATGCAGTGCCTCGTTTCGAGAGGATGCCCTAACATTTACACAATGATACAAAAAGATTCATGCCATAATTTTTCGACAAATTTTATGATGACTGTCGGCTACGTACACAAACCTTCACTTTTCACATCCCGGGCTTGGGACCCGACAATGTCGGTAGACTGGTAGAAGATTTTAAAAGTATTCATGCTGGCTACAGTTTTGGAGTGATTAATAAGAAAGAAGAGCCATATTAGATTTTGTTTTAGCATATATTTTGTTAGTGCTAATACTTTTTTCAAGAAAAGAGATGAATATATTATTACTTATAAGAATGGATCTAATAAAACACAAATTAATTTTTTTCTTATGAGAAGAAGGGATTGTCGAGAATGTAAAGATTTTAAGGTCATTCCAAATGAGTATTTAAGTACTCAACATTAATTGATTTTAAGGCCATTCCAAATGAGTATTTAAGTACTCAACATTAATTATTAGTTCTAAATTTTAGGATGAAGAGTTGTAAAATAAAGAATACTAGAAATCATTGTCATAGAATTAGATGTTGGCATCTAAAAACCAAAAATAAAATTATTTTTATTTAACAAATTATTAATTTAATGCTTAAAAAATAATTACTCACTTTGTTTAATGTGATATCTCTCCTTAAGTTTTAAATCTTTTGAAAAAAAGTTCTTCAATCCCTGGCGATATATAACGTAATATTAACATTTATTACTTATATTTATCTTACTATTCATTGAAAACTAATAAAACCTTAGACATGCATTTTTTTCTTCTTTTAATAAAATCTACAATTCAGAACTTCGGGTCTTACAGAGCAAAACTTCATCGATTTCTTGATATATCTTTAATAGATCTCAATATTGCTAATCGAAAAATATTGAATTAAATAATTATTTATTATTTCGTTAACAATCACAAAACAACTTGGACATGATTCAATTTACTTTTTAACTAAAAAAATTAAAACTCTTACTTACCAATTTGCTCAGATCGATCTCCCTTTTCTCTGCTTGCACACTTCACAAACTCATTTTCTGTACAAGCTGAAATCTCTAACTGTTTGAGTCTTAATTTCGAAAAACATTCCACTAACATTATTTAATAAACATAATCTCATGCATACACATATATAATATTATATTAATTAACTTAATAATAAAAATCTTAACTATATCGTTATACCTTTGGCCGATAACCCTATCCTGTGTGACAACTCCCCCACTCCTCTTCTTCCCACATGCGAACAATGCCACAGTTTCTATTCCCTTTTCTCCTTCGTACAACTCAACATAGACAATACCCGAGGTCTTCTTCTTCATCCTCTTCCTCTGCGCAAGCAAAGCGTCAAAGTTTCCTCCTTCCTCTTCTGCTTGCGATTTGCAGCTCAACTTAGCACCACAAGCATGTCAATGTCGCTTCCTCCTTCTACAGCTGAGTGGCTAGTGTTCGATGTCAAATCCACACCTCCCCCTTCCTCGACTTCGATTTGCTAGTGCTCGAGATAGAACGACAGTGCACGGTCTTTCTCCTACAGGCGCAACATCAAAATTCCTACAGATGTACATGGTGACTTCAGTCCTATTCCTCTTCTTCTTCTTCTTCTTTCTGCTAATCTTCCTTCTCCTTTTGCGGCCTTCACTCTCGTCTCTCGGTTTCGTTGATTCAAATGAGGGTAAGTGTTGAAATAAACGTGAAATAAGTTTCTTATGAGATGGTGCATGTCGTTTAAACGCTGACGTGTATATATATATATATATATATTATTATGATTCTTTTGTTTCAGTTATTACAGTTTGTTGTATCATTTAATAATGTTACTCTATTGCTGCGAACCATTATAATCGTTTCTTTCCTATTTGATCACATGGTTCCCATTTCACTTTTTATATCCTCGTCTTTATCACTTTTTATTTTGATATAATTGATCCATGGTATGTAAATATATCATATGAGGACTCGCTTTTACTTCTATTTTTTTTTGCTTTATTTTTAACGTTTGATAGTCATTTGATATTAGATTCGGTATATTTAGTCTTTATTTTATTTATTATAAATCACTTTTATTTTATAGCATTTCTTTGTTATTGTAATAATTCATTTTAATTCATGTGATTTGAAGTGGGTAGTGGAGCAGAATTGACAAACTATATTGGATAATTTTGATTTTGATATTTTTAGAAAGAAGGAATCTAGTGTATGCGAAGAACCAGGAAGATAGGAGAAGAGAATTAATAAGTTTAGTTGAATGAATGCTTTAAAAGAAGGGAGGCAAAGAAGGGAGGCGGGAGTTAGAGAGGAATGAAGCAAGTGGAATGAATTCAGAGAACTAATCTGCTAGTGGATGACAAAAGTATTTTTTTTATTCACATCAAATCTTATTTAATTTCAGATTTGGAGCCATGATTAAAAATTGTCCTTCTTGAAAAATTTGAATACTGCCTTAAAAAAATATTAAATGGCAAACTAATCCTAACTGATAAGCAAGAATAACCATCATAATAGAATTGATTAACATACATTGGCGCAAATAAAAATGAAGGTAATTATCTTGCATTCATCGATTCTCATGACTAAAAAGGACTGAAGTCCAGATAGTTAAATGCTTGTAAAGGGAGAGCTGAAAATCTTTCAATATAGTATTTAGTGTAAAACTAGAAATATTTTCCACAAAGAAGAGAGATGAATGTGAAGTCCATCCCAAAGAAGTTGTGAAGAAGGGAAACCATTCCGAGGAGGAAGAGACAACGGAGAATAAAATCTCTTTCATCTATGATATCAATAGAATACTCTCTTGTAAATCCTTTCTTTCTTTTGGAAAGATTCCTTTGGAAGCTCAAAGGTTTCATGCACTTTGGCAGACTATTTTGATCGGAGTAAAGTATTATTTGACTTAAAATTTTTATTTGCGTTTTTTGTTCATGCTTTGCAAGGATGTGATTTGTGCATGCAGTTGGTGCCATAGATATGTGTTTGTAAGATGACATGGTTGATCAAGGAATGCAATGTGTGAAATGGATTTGCGGATATGCATTGCATGGTTTAATATCTGAAGGATGGATTTGAGGGCTGTGTGCATGTAGTAAAGTGAAGCATCTGATGTCGAGATAAAATCGGGTAAATATAAAGAGAGGATCGAAAAATTTAATGAATGATCTCGTCATGTGAAACCAGTGATGAGATTGTGATGAAGAAAGGATTAGGAAAGCCTAGAAATGAAAACCAGTTCTAAGTGTGGCAGCCAAAATAAAAACTTTCTTTATCTTGTCCTTTAACTGTAGACATTCTTTGTAGATCTAGTCCTCATTGAAAATCATCAACTTACCTTTGAACATTATAAAAGGGACAAAACAGGGTTAAATGACAATAAGAAAAAGCATAATATTGCATGGTAAATATATTTTGACAAAAAAATAGATTTTAGTATTGATAGCTAAAGGAAACATCTTGCATTGCATCATCATGCTTATGTCAACACTAGAATTATACCATCTATCTGGTAGCATTCACCGTTGTTTTCAAACCCTGAATATCACTCAAGTAGAGTTTACTCATTTCAATTTAAACATGGCGTCTTTTTGGTACAAACAGAATCATTTAACGTAGATAACACCTTTAGTATATTTTTTGGCTTGTGACATTTTATTTATACAAGTTTATTTATTATTGTCTTTGAAGTTTAGCTTCTTTGCTGTGTTCTGTTTGCCACTAGAATTTTGGAATTTGCAATACATTACTAAAATCAGATGGTCCGGTCTATTAAGATTATTTTGGCTAACTGTTTTGGAACTTGTTTACATTTTAGCTTGGAGGAGGATATTTATTTGGGCTGCCTCTGGGTTTCATTGCTGACTCTCTTGGAGGCACTTTTGGTGCAACCGCAGCTTTCTTGCTTGGCCGAACAGTATGTAAATTACACTATGGCCTTTCTTGTTTTTCTATTTAACTCGTTTCACAGTCATGTATGTCTTAAAGGTTCTTTCGCTTTCTTTTGGCTTTATTTTTGTTCGATTAGGATCACTTCTAGGTTTAGTTTTTTGGTTTTTTTTTAAATTTTTATTTTATTTTATCTATGTTTTGATGTAAAGAAAAGCGTGTTTGATATAGTAGAAAATGTTTAGTTGTTTTTAAAAATACTCGAAACGGCTTTTACATATTTTTATTTTCAGTAATTTTAAAAGCAAAATATATAAGCATGTAAAAGTACACTAAACAAAAATGTTTTTAAAGTAAAAGCAAAAATCAAAACGGAAAACAAAAAACAAGAGTGATCCCAACAAGCCCTAGTATTATCAGATATACAATAATCTTAGGGGCCGTTTGGGATCATTTTTGTTTTTTTTTCTATTTTTTGGTTTTATTTTGTTTCGTTTAAGTTCTGATTTGAAGCAAAACATATTGGCTATTTGATTAAAATGTGATTGTTTTTAATAACACTCAAAATACCTAAACGCTGTTTTGACTATTTTTTTAAAAAAACATGTTAATTTCTTTTTGGACAAAATAATTGTAAAAATCCCTTTCAGACTATGTTTAGAAAAAAAAATAAAAATAAAAAAAATAAAATTGATCCTAAATGAGTACTTCGAAAGTCAGTGTGGCAGTCATATTTTTTGGCATTTACTATTATATTATTCAAACCTTTATCATCTGAATGGAGGTCCTTTTTTTGCTTGTTGAAATTCAATGTTTCTGTGGTGATATTTGAAGCGAGGTCTTCAATGACGTCTTAGTGGACTTAAAACACAAGTAATGTAAATGGTCTGGCAAGACTTCGATATATTTTATAATTCTCGTACATGAAGAGGTGAATAATCATTGTATGGGAACGTTTTTAAATGCCTCTTTAATTCAGAAAATTGGCAGAACTCAGCACTTTCCAGTGAAATTGAAGCTTTTCTGGATTAAATGGTATGGTGTAAATAAAGATGAGATTTATGACTCATTTAGATATTACTAGATCATGTCATTGGGCTTGAAGAAGGAAATTAATATGTTTTAAACTGTACAAATACAATCAAAATGCCTAAAAATGATAATTTCTTTTTCCCACATAAAGTGAGTGAAAATAAACTATTAGCTTCTAAGAAATATAATCTATCTTCAAGCAATTAAATGAGCTCATATGTAAGAATGGGTCTGTATTTTTGCTGGTTTTTTTTTTTCAAGGTGAGGGTTGTTAATTAAGCAATATAATCATAAATAACTGACACTCATAATGTATAAATGGAAAGTATGATTAGAAATCACAAAAGTGTAGAAAATTAATATTTGTTTCACTACCACATTCCTCTTAAATTTGAATTAAAAATATTGGAAATTAAATGCCCAACATTAAAAATTTAAGAGCACTTTTAACAAGCTAGAGAAGATTATGACTAATACCGGATACCACAATTAAAATGGCCACTATTATTACTAAATTTCATATAGGTTACAACCAAAGTCGCTTAACAATGAAAACAATAACAACACAAACAATAAAAGACTCTAGGATGATGACAAGGGTGGTGTCTGGCTGCTGAACAACAGGTAGGAAGGCTTGCGGTTGCAGATGAGGAGACAAAGCAAGATATGGCAGCAGTTTGAGGGTGTTAGAGGGAGTTCAGGCAGCAGGTTGATAGACAGATGGGTGATTGTGATAGCAGCAGGCGCAGTTGGAAAGATTTACGGCATAGTTGGCTGGCAGTGGAAAGGCTGCGACACGGCTGGCAGGCAGGGAAAGTGGCGACACAGCTTGGCGGAGAGGGGGAAAGGCTGCAGCAACTGTGGGGCTGTGGTCAGCTGGCTGCAGGGTGACAGAGAGAAGGGAAGATGGCTGATGGCAGAGAGCAAGGGTAAGGCGGAAACAAGCAATAGGAGGGAAGATATACACCACCTCAGAGTAGGATAAAACTGGAGCGCCACCACCCCCTCGAATAGGGTTCTACAATAGGGAGAAGTAATCCACACAGGAATCTGAAAGTAGACAGAGGATGAACTCCCTCTAAATGCTGAAAACAACAATTAAATAGACTCTTACATGAAGATGAAATAAAAGACATAAAGAAGGAAATTCCCACAAAAAAGGAAGGGGTGATGAGGCAAGAAATATCTAGAAATTAGCCATTAAAATACTTTCATATGTAGAAGAAGCATAAAAAGGAGTGTGGCGGGCGGCAGCCCCACCCCGTCAAATTTTCGCCCCCAGGCAGCTCGGTTTAACCTGCTCCCGCTTTCCCGCTGCGGGTGATCCCACTCTTGTCCCTGTTCCTGCATCAATCTCATTAAAGCATTTTTTTTGTTATTTTCATCTTTATAAACTATTTTAATGGATATTGATATGAGTATAATAGGCCATTTACAAAGAAATGCAAAAGCAAAATGAATAAGTAAATAAATAATATAAAAAAAAGAAAAAAAAAACATTAACACACAAAAAGTACAAAGCATATATTCAAATCTTCTGAGTGAATGAGAGTTGCTAAAGATATATTTTCTTTTTATTCTTGTATTTCTAGTATAAAAAACACGGAATCTCTTAGCTGATGCTTTGAATGTTTCAGTCAAATTTATAAAACTATTGTGATAAATATTCATCATTTTTTTCACAAATTGGATGAGGTTGAGGCATTTTAAGAACTTGCTTTATATTTTCAGTGATAATATTGAGTGACAAATACTTAGGGGTTAGCTGGCACCAAAATTTTAAGCATTTTCTTTGGGAGAGAATATGATTGTGACTCTAAGACTTGGGAATATACCTGAATGGATGATGGGGATCTTTTACCACAAGGGCAGGAGGAAAATTAAGAGCATTAGGGGAAGGGCCTGCATGTGAAATTTAGGATATTTTAGCTTAAGGTGAACCTTGAAATATTCAGAAAATTTATGTCAGCAAATATGATAAGAGGAGCAATATTGTGGAAAGCTTTTAAATTCCACATTTTGTAATATCTAGATCACAAAAACCTACTCTACGCTTTTTTATGAAAGGGGCTATTACATTAAGTTCATCAAGACACTAGATATAGAGGGCTTAGCAAGATGACTTGTGGTAGCATGCCTGTAAAAACAACGAAAAAATTGAAATTAAGGGGAAAAAATACACTGATTGAAGTAGTACAAATGAATTCATCCAAGTCATTGACAGGAGATTTTAAAGAGATTATTTTAACATGCACATCAGGAGGCCGCTAATATTTTATGAACATTGTGAGAAGAGTAATGTAATTTGCTTTAAGTCTTATGATATGCCGAGGGTTAAGAAGTCTAATAGAATAGCCACCAACTAGATGTAAACCAAATGAAACTGTCATATATAATTAACTAATAAGTGAGCGGGTGATAGGTTTAGCATGCACATAAATCACCTTATAGATAAAGAGGAAAGTAAATTTGCTCTGAAAAGATGAAGGCTTTTTATTTTTTTGAGTTGCTGAGTTCGGTAATGATGAGAATTATTGGGAGGAGAGGGAAAACATGCATAGCGTTCAAACCATAAACAACGTTCACAATTGAGAGCAAGGTTAAGGGGCAGGAGGTGCCACCACTGGGAAGGAAAGTAGAGGCAATTAGGGGCTTCCTGAGAAGGAGGTGGCGATCTCATTGGGAAATCATACAAGATCTTGGGAGGTCTTTGTAGAAGGTGGGATCTAAAGAGACTGAGTTAAATGGGAAATGCAGAATATCCCCTAATAGTGATCCATGAAAAAGAACGAGCTCGACTATGAACATGAGATGAGCAAAAGTATACCTCCAATCAGAGCAAAGAAGAGGAAGGCGTGATCCATCTCTGTGGTCTTTCTTGTGCATGGTGTTGTGCATTGTGAGTGATGCTACCGACAATGGTCTGGCAGGGAGAGATACCAGCTAGTGCACAACATGGCAACGTTGCACTTTTGCCGTTTGGAAAGGAGATATTTAGAAATTGGGATGGGCATGAAGCGATGGTAGGTTGCTCCATTGTGACAGGAGGTTATTAATTTTTTTAATTATTTTTTTCCGTACTATTAGAGGTTATGAATATAAATCTTGGTAACAGTGCCAACTAATGCACCAAGGAAAACCTTTTTATCCCTTTTTTCAAAGAGGCAATTGATAGATTGCCGGTTTTATATGTAGCGTACTTCTGTAAGATGTTTTGGTTACCTTTTTATGTTTTTTGTCAAATTGGTTTGTTGTATACATTTAATCAAATAACATGAATGGGCTGTGAGAGATTATTAACTTTGTAATAAGTAAGTTGATAATAAGTTTAAAACATCATCATTAGTTTTATCCCAACTACTTGAGATTGATTTTAAGCATTATAATTATACAATTATTTTTGCTAAATGCTGCATGAGGTGCTAAACCTATTATTCATACTTCTTTTTATACAATTTTTATTTATGTTATCTTCGAGCCACACCTCTTCCTTCTTAAAAATTCAAAGTTAATTTTGATATATTTGTTATGAGTGATTTTTCCATTCTTTGTTATATCCGTCCAAACCACTTAAATTTATTTTATATACCTAAGTTTTAATATCTTCCACTCTCCCCAATCAGCACTCAATCTACACTTTCTAGTTGTCACACATCCATTTTAAATAGTCATTTATGCTACTTACTCTTATTATATACAATTAGTATGTATATATATACTTTTTGTCATTATCTGTAAGTTATTACTAGGCTGTCACTTTGACTCGTAACAACTGGAGAACCAACCTAAACTTAAGGCAACCAGCCAATCTGCTTCAGTCCTTTAAAGTTGGTTAAAAACTCGTATTTTACTTTTTGAGACTGATATCCCTTAGTTTTTGTTCCAGTGTTTACGCCATAATAGTTAAATGCTTGCCTGATACCAGTATCAATTTCATATAAGATCAAAAACCTGAAATTACTAACCGAATAAAACATGGGTTAGGTATTTTAATCA